TGGCCTGCTCATTTCACAAATGACGGACCCTCGAATCGAATGATGCTGGATTCACCTGGATTGTCAGCCACAAAACGGATAGCTGCCCACCCACCAACCGGCACACCGATGGTATTCCTTTCTGGCGGATCAATTAGGTTGAAATTGGTAGAATCTCTACTTGGATTGAAGTTTCCAAAACCCTGTCCAACTACATAAAACTGGTGCCCGTGAAGATGGATCGGATGATCCTCAGTTGAGAATATACCCGTATCTTGGAACACAACTTGGACCTTAGAACCATACTTCAGCTTGTACAGCTTAGTCCCTCTAACGGGCTGCCACAATGCACGAGGCACATTTCCTGTATAGTCAAACTGAATAGGAGGAACAGGAGGAAAGTCTGTGGTATAGACGCCTGGAATGCTTTGGTAGTAGGCTTGCAATAAAGATGCCCGTCTGGGCAGAACAAATGAGACATTGTTCATGCTTGAAGCAAAACGAGTAGCATTAGGTCCCTGACAAGTAGGGCTAGGAATGCAGTTATAGAATCCTAATCCCACTGTAATGAACAGGTTCTCATCAATATCAGTGGGAATTTGGGCATCGGAGGAAGAAAGGCTCCTGAATTGGCTAGTGAAGGAAGCAACTGTTGCTGTGTCATTGTAAGGTGGTAAACGTGGCAAGATTGGTGTATATGAGGATCCCTTTCTGGAATGACAGGGAATAGAGTTGTACTCTAAGATTGCCGTGGCGGTTGTGTTGTCAAATGGTGCACCTTGGGCAGTAGCGTAGGCCCTCGTCGCCATGTAAGAACGGGCCGGAGGCTGATCAGCAGTAAGGAGTACATTAGTTGTCTGACCTGGTCCAACCATGATCACTCTGGTGGTGAAAGGCTTGTTATAAGCAGCGTCAGCTCCAACAACAGTGAGCATGTGGTTAGCCACGGTAAAGAAAAGTTGCTGATTCAGTGCAGCATTGATGATTCTCAACAGAACTGTGTCGCCCGCGTCCACGTAAAATGTTGCCGTATCTGCATTGTGGTTTGGTGTTTTGCTAAGTTAATAAAATGAAAAACAATTGTTAAGCAGCAGTACTTCAAATTCTAGAATCATTAACATATGGGATTTCTTCTGGTGTGATGCGACAAACATTCGTTGTCAGCAGAAGTGACAAATTGGATATATGGTTGATAAATAATTTTAGTTAAATAGATAATGGATCAAATTGATCCAATATAATTAAAATCATTTAATAAATGGATGCCATTTAAATGGATAGTGTAAAATCGTGATCCATTCATTTATCCATTTACTCACCCAAGTGCTAAATTTAAGATTCAAATGTTTTTTCCAAAAAAATATAAATCGCTAAAGTTCTACCCTTAAATCACTTAAAAAACCTTTTTGTACTAACAAATGCTTGTGCTATTACTCTATTTCAATTCTTCATCATTACTTTAAGTATCATCTTGTCAAGTAACGAAGAATTAAGAGTTTGGCTACATTATTATAACTTTTGGGTGAATTAAATACGGTTTTATGGTGGAAAGAAGTTTACTTTTCCAATTTTTTGCATTCCTGTTCAAGAGGGATACCTTGAAAGAAAATGGAGTTCCAATAAGAATTCTTATGTTATTTGACAAGTAAAATACTTTCATCACATGAGCACATAGTACCTAGAAATGTATGAAACTCCTTATTATACCATGAATATACAAGCTACCTTATATCTACTTAATAAATTATGTGTCTTTTTTTTTAGGATTGGGTTAGGTGATAAGGGAACATGGATTGTAAGTAGGAGATTATGGATTCAAAAACTTCCATTTATTAAAAAAAAAGAAGAATGTATCATTTATGTATCTTAGCCGGTGTTACAGGCTGTGGGATGCTGGTTAGAAAAATCCTTTTTTATAAATAAATGAATAAAAGAATAAAAAATTACTTTGACAGTGTATGATGCATTCTCGCTTTTTCTTTCCTTACGAATGTGCAAGTTTGCAGTCACTACTATATGAGAGTTTAATTTTTTAAAAAAAGTAGAGACTAAAATATAATTTTAAAAAGGATGGAAGAAATCTAGGAACTAGAAGAGAATAAAATGCAATTAATGCTATTGACAACTTAGCACATGAGAAAGTTATGAAGTAAAGAATAAGTGGTCTCGTAAAATTCCATTTCACTTTTTTTTTAACAATTAATTGTAATCACAATATGTGTTTTCTCTTTTTTTAATTAAGTAGATATATATAAATGACACCAATAATCCATTTAAATCTATCATCATAATTGGGTTTAGATGATTATCCATTTAAAATCATTGAATACATACGTATGGATCATCCAAATCTGTTTAAAGTTGGCACGTAAGGCTGGTTTATATGGATGATGGATACGAATCCATTTTGCCACTTCTCGTGGTCAGGATCGAATTGTTTGTAGATGCAAACACGTCTAAACAAGTAGTACTTGACAATCGTATAAGGAACACGTTTGGAGCAGACCTAGGCTAGAGCATCTGTAGAAATCACCAGGTTGGCCATTGATGGTATATGCATCAGACACATTTGGAGCAGCACCGCTAAACAAAGCCTGTCGCATGATGCCAAGAATGTCGGTGTCCCACCATTCTCCTGTTGTTATTCAAAGAGAAGCTGAAAACGTTCATTTTTATAAAGCTGATCAACATCATCATTTCATTTGATGCTGCTACAGCTACAGCTACACGAAGGTAGGTTTGGTAGTGATGAATGATGAAGACGCACTCACCCAGGATTACAGGGAAGTCTTTATCGGGGTGGTTTTGAAAAGGGTAGGGGACACCCAATTTGGGATAGATGACGAGTGCCCCGTAGATAGTAGCCCTGATCCATCGGCTATGAGCATGCCACCAGAGGGTGCCGTCCTGATTCTGAATGGAGAAGCGGTAGGTGTAGGCAGCCCCCGGTTGAATTGGACATTGGGTCACATATTCCGGCCCATCTGCCCACTGCGTTCCTCTCTGTCGGATTCCATGCCTGGACCATAAACAATACATCATGTCAACTTCATCAGTCTCGTGCACCCATCACTACGACATTCTGAGAGTTTGACCGATGATTGCAGTCTCCCGCGTAGTTTATTGGCCCAATCTACCTTGGTGTTTGGGTAAACAAATATTGGGCCATCGGTTGCTCAGCTCCAGTTATTTAGGCTGCAGATCTACAATCGAAGGGTTAACAGCGACTCCACCTTCGATCACTAGCCCAACTCAGTCGGTTAGCTAATTTTTGGATGCCACATTTGGGACAAATATTAAGTTGGAAAGTCAGATGCAAAAAATTCAGCTGTAGCATAGCAGTTGGACTTAGCACACCAACAGTGGGTGCAAAAAACAGCATTTTAAAGTATTCGTCAGAGTCAACAAATGTCAAACTCAGTGCTGCAAACTATTTTCCAGCTTTCTTTAATCCTGATGAGAAACTAAAATGCATGCAGCTGTCGCGATCATCTCTATGCATGTTTCTTTAATTTATATTGTAGCAGGTACGCTAGTGGATCGCAAACACTACTCATTAATTAACGAGCAAATTATTGAGCAAGAAAGGAAGGAAGAGCGTCTTAGGTAGCTTTTGAGTTACCAATGGATTGTGACGTTGTAGAGAGCCCTGTTGATGACTTTGATAACCAGGGAATCTCCGTCTCTGACTTCAATGGTTGGCCCCGGGAATTGGCCGTTCACCGTTAGTATGCTGCGACTTGTACAAAGCCTCTTTATCGGTGTCGATTGAACCTGTCAATGAATTACGTGTTTCTTATCATCAAAGACAAGCATAGGATTGAGGATTCTAACGTATAAGTAGCAGTATCAGAGAATACGTTGGACATACCACGAACTCGTGATAATGAGTCTCCGAGTCTGCAAGCCATGCTGCAAAGATGAAGGTGACAGAGAGACTTAGTATGGCAGTTGTGGATTGTGGTATCATATCACTGGATGGACAATTCGTGCAAGTTTGTTACTTTCCGCACGAACGAGTTGTGGGTAAAGAGAGCTTCGATGATGCATTGCCGTTTTATTTGTATCTTATAGTAAAAGACAGAGCAGAAAGCTTGATTTGGTAAACAGGAAATGAAAGACGCCAAATAAGGGAAAAGGGAGAAAGATGTTATGGGAATATGGGACTTTCGATCGAGTAGGTTGTCTTGAGAGGGAAACCAAAATGGTAGAAAACGTATTCGTCTAACCGCAAAGCATTATTTGGTAAACCACTGGCACTGCTGCCAAGCTTTTAGAGAAACAGAGCTTTAACTTTTTGAGTCATGGTAACCCTCTCCTCTGTCGTGGTGGTTTTAGTTTTAGTCAACTCAGGATGCCTGTCGACATGCATTGTTGGGGGATCTTTGTTTTTTGGGTAAATTATATTTTACCCCCCTATGGTTTACCCTTTTTTTACATAACCCCCCTATGGTTTCAAAAGCTATACATAACCCCCTCATGGTTTGGATTAAAGTGTCAAAGTAACGGAAATAGTCACTCGTAACGGAACTTCTAAAAATGTCGAAATTACCCTTATAAATACATGACACATTAATCCCCTATGATTTTTATATTTTACCATATAACCCCCTTATGGTTTAATACTTTACCATATAACCCCCTTATGATTTTCAAAATATACACATAACCCCCCTTGGTTAATACATAAATTTCAACCTTACATAAGGGTATTTTTGACATTTTAGGTGACGCCGTTACGAGTGACTATTTCCGTTACTTTGACACTTTAATCCAAATTATAAGGGGGTTATGTATAGCTTTTGAAACCATAGGGGGGTTATGTGAAAAAACGCTAAACCACAGGGGGGTAAAGTGGAATTTACCCTTGTTTTTTTTTTCTTTTTTAGTGCTATTTTATGCGTACAATTTCTAGCAAATCGACAGTCTTGCATTTTTCAATATGTCGTACAGTGTTTTTGTAATAAGAAAAACAAATGAGAGGGTTAATTTCCCAAGCAATCTATATTCATATGAGAGAATTTCGTTCAAAATATTCAACTTCAATTAATGGAATGCAAAGTTACACGAGAAGGATACATGGACTGAGTGTTGACGCGGAACACCTCCCTAGATCAAGGGTCCAAAGAAATGACTCAAACTAAGACTCGTAGACTTTTCTGCTTAGCTAAAACAATTCGGACTTGGTATTGCAATGATTGAGCGTAATGGACGAAGCCAAGGACAATGAATGCCGGACGACTAGACTTCTGATGAATTATTGCAAACAGGAAAAAAGATTCAATATTAGCATGTATCTGATCTATGCATAATCATCTCAGCATCGTGGCAGATCAGCTGGTGGTGGCTCTACGGTCTGTAATTCTCCTCTTCCATTCTCAACGATGAATGACATAGCCAGGCCCCAAGTCAGATGGGAATCAATGTGACAGTGGAATAGCCAAACCCCTGCTTTCAATCAGGTCAAGAAATTCAGATTAATGAGATTTTTTCAAGGTAGTTCTCATTCAGACGGAATGAAAAAATTTGATATTTCCAAACCTGGATTATCGGCCACGAAGCGGATGACTGCCCATCCACCAACGGGTACATCAATTGTATTGCGCGATGGCGGATCAACAAGGTTGAAATTTCCGGTATCTGTCTGAGGATTGAAGTTGCCAAAACCTTGTCCCACAACGAAGAAATGGTAGCCGTGAAGATGAATAGGGTGGTCCTCTGTTGAGAAGATTCCCGTGTCTTGCAACACGATCTGTACATTTGCACCAAATTTCAGCTTATATAGCTTAGTCCCAAAAACAGGCTGCCACTGGGATCGCGGTACAGTTCCTGTATAGTTGAATTGGACAGGCGGAACTGGTGGGAAATCTAAGGTGTAAATTCCGGGTATGTTTTGGTAATAGGCTTGCAGGAGGGAGGTTCTATTGGGGAGCACAAAGGAGACATTGTTCATGCTAGCCGCAAAGCGTGTATTGTTAGGCCCTTGGCATCTAGGCCCGGGGTTGCAGTTGACAAAGCCTAATCCTACAGTAAAGAACAAGCTGTCATCAATCTGAGTGGGAACTTTATAATTGGAAGGAATGCTCCTCAACTGGCTGGTGAATGCGGTTGTGGTGGCTGTATCATTGAAGGCTGGAAGCTGAGGCAAAATAGGTCTCGAGAATGACCCTGTTCTGGAATTTCTGTATTCAAGGATGGCTGTAGTGGTGGTGTTATCAAACGGGGCACCCTGAGCGGTGGCGTAGGCGCGTGCAGCCATATAGTACCGCCCCGCTCGCTGATTAGCATTCAGGAGGACATCGGTGGTCTGTCCAGGTCCGAGCATGATGACTCTGGTTGAAAAGGGTTTGAGGTAGGAGGCATCAGCACCAACAACAGTGAGTTGATGGTTGGCGATGGTGAAGAAGAGTTGTTGATTGAGTGCAGCGTTGATGACTCTCAGGAGAACTGTATCCCCTGAGTTCACATAGACCTTGAAAGTACCTGTTGTAATCCAAACCAGGAAGAAAATATTTGTTCAGTACTTTATTATTATTATTATTGACTCATCCAGAGAAGTGGCAACTGTAACCTACCTCGGTTGGAGCATCTGTAGAGGTCACCGGGTTGACCATTGATTGTATAGGCATCAGAAACATTTGGGGCTGCCCCGGTAAAGAGAGCCTGTCTCATGACACTGATGATGTCCCTCTTCCACCATTCTCCTGCTCATTTTTTTTTTTTTTTTTTTACACAACTGTTAATTTTATTCAGATAGATTTCAACTGCGAGTAAAATTAGGTCAGTGGAAGTGAGGCGTAGGCAAGTTTACCAAGAATAATGGGGACATCTAGCTTGGGTTTCGCAAAGGGATATGCGAATCCTTGCTTAGGGAAGATGACAAGTGCTCCGTAGACGGTAGCTCTGAGCCATCTGCTGTGAGCGTGCCACCATAGAGTACCCTCCTGATTTTCAATGGTGAAGCGGTAAGTGTAAGTTCCTCCAGGTTGGATCGGGCATTGAGTAACATATTCAGGACCATCTGCCCAGGGGGTTCTCATTTGACGAACTCCATGCCTGGAGGAGATAATATGTATGTGCTCGGTTAATAACTTTGTCATTAACTTCAGATATATACTCTTATAAACGTTTGTCATTAGTTACCAGTGGAGGGTGACATTGTAAGGAGCCCTGTTTAGGACCCTTATAACCAGTGTATCGCCATTTCGTACAGCTAGAGTTGGCCCTGGAAACTGCCCATTAACTGTAATTATGCTGTGAGTACTGCACAGCCTGGTCACCGACTTAGCTTGTACCTGTTTCCCCAACCCAATGACAGCATGCAGAAGATTACATAGTGTATTGTCTGTGAAAAGTTACAATTTTTTTTTTAGGAAATATATAAAAGGAGGACAAAAAACAAGAAAGACGTACAACAAATTCATGGTAGTGAATCTCTCCGTTCGGATGAGAAGCTACGGCAGCAAGAATGGCTAAAAAGCCCAGGAGAAAACCACTCGACCATGGCTTTACAACACTAGTAGTACTGAGGGGGCTAAGAGCCTCCATTCCTAATAATTAAGCTTTTTTGCTCGACGGAAATTTGTAGGATGTATAATTGGATACAGCTATTTATAGTAGTGCATTGAGGAGGGAAATGAAAATCACAATTTTGTTTATAAAAAAAGGAAAAAAAAGGGCCTTTGGCTATTGGGCAGATTAGTTAGGAGGAGGAGTCAGCCGAGGACTGAAAATCTAATTTGGCAACGTGGTCCAGCCGCATGAAGGATTTGGTGCACCCACTTGTTCTATCAATTGCTAAACTAAGCTCGCCCTCGCAGTGCATTGGAATGAACCAAAAGTGCTGCATGAACCCTCAGCCTAAGCCTTCAAGACTCAGAAGAACGTAACCAGTTTCCTTAGTCCTTCCTTTCAGATTATGAATTGCTGCTAGAATAAGATTTGGGGGAAATGGAATCTGGGAGTTAACAAATGATGCCAGTAAGTATAATATCTTGTTTTCTTGAGTAAATCAAGGACGCAATCGTACTTCCAAAACTAGAAAATTTTGCTAACAGTTTCAAAGCAACAATGGGAACCCGTCTCTACTGCGAACCCATAGATTGTATCCAATTCTTTGCCGTGCATATCACTGAAGAGCAAAAGAAAAAGAAAAAAGAAAGGAAAAGGTCAAACAGGGTTGAATATCCGCCACGATTAGTTGGGGGAAGGACTTGTGAGCCGCTGGTTTCGACTAATTTACTAGAGTTAGTTGATGACATAGCTTTCATTAAGGGACACATAGTGCAGTTTGTGTGAGTTAAAGAGTGGAGCAGTTCGTTAGCCAAACAATCAGTACCAAAGTGCAAAACCAATCCTGATCGAGCATCTAATGCAATGCATAAAATTTTGCAACTGATCTTGAGAGTTCTATGTCAAAAAGTCAACAACAGAGGAGGAAAAAGTGACAAAATGGACTTCTTGTTTTGTAGCTAGGCCAGGTTTATTTAATGCAGAGCACTTAAAAATTCAGGGATTGCTGGAAACCTTGATCGGCGAGGTTGAATTTCCCAGGAGATTTGGTGAGTCAAGCAAAATATTTTGTAAGCTGCAACTTTATTAGCTTTATTTGACCTCGGCTTCTCAGCAATACTACTCGTCGGACTTCTCATTTTCTGAGAGTTCCTCGTCTAATCATGCAAGGAAACAAAGAGGATGCAAAAAGGAAAGGAAATATCACAAGTTTGACTGCAAGAAATAAAAAAATATATATATATATAAAAAGACCAGAACTGTTCCACACTTGCAACCCTATTATTGTATGCATTAGCTTCAATCATGGCACAAATTAGTGGCACCCTGAGGGTCATGCAAGAACTTTGATTCTTTAATTTCTCCAGTGTGTTTGTTCCTTTTACTTGTCCCCTTCATATCTTCTTTTGTTGAAATGCCGTCCAACAAGCTCAACACCCATCGCACCCCGAAAAAAATACAAAAAACAAAAACCCACAAACAGGATGGAGAGAGTTAGGCAACCTGCCAACAGAACGCTGAACAAGACTGCAATCCTCCATTTTTATTTTTTCAATCACACTTGCATACATCACACCATAAAAATGCACCAAGCACAAACATTTTTACTCAAAATTGCAGCCAAAGCAAGTCCAAAAGGTTTTGATGAGTAGGAGCATCAGATTTCGTACTCTGTGCAGAAAACGGCACTTGGATTTGAGATACCATCGCTGCATTTGATTTCAGACTCGGGAGCTAGACAATAATGCTCCATTCTTAGCCTTTTGCGTCGAGGTCAAAGGTAGGTATTAACTTAGAAAAAGATCACCATCAAAATTTACATTCCAAAGCTCATCTTAAAGAATTACCGTTACAAGCGTGTAAATTCTCAACTCAGAAAACTTTTATTCGCGTACATCAATGAGAATAATCTAGTGGTCAAAAAATCAGTAACAATTACAAAATTTCCAGCTTAGCAATATCGATGGCCGCTGCAGCCCAGGCTGTGCTACAAATGCGTCCTCAATGCTTGCAGCGATTTAATTTTTGATTCACAAATCCTAAGAAACTGAGACAGTACACTGCTCTGCCCAGCCCCAACTTTCCTTACAACTTCAGCAGCATCCCACGACTGCAAAGCTTGGGAGATCCGATCACCCAGCGCCGTATTATCCACAGATGAAATCAGAGTTTCAAACATATGGAGAATTCTCCCAGGCCCTTGATCTTCCCCATTTACTTGGAGCAGGGAAAATATGGTTTCAAACTTTACATCATCTAACTTGTTTATTTGTTCACTCAACCATCCAGTGACCTCCTTCATTGCATCACATAAACTCTGGATAGAGTCTTGTATTTCATGAGAGTGGTGAGAGTTTGTCTGCTCTGTAACCCCACCTTTCTTCTTCTTTTTCCCAGAAGGAAGAGAAGACCGGACAGAGGACTGGATTATCAGACTATGCCAAGATAAGGGTTCAGTTACCAACTGCACCAACATAGGAAGATCACCACCAGGAGAAGACAATAGGGGTCCTGTGGATCTCATCTTCTCAATAATATACTTCTTCAGCAAAGAATTCACTAGATGCCAAGTACTAGGCCTTGGCTTGTCATTATTTGAAAACCCTATCTCTCGAGAGTTCAGATTCCAAGCATTTAAGAACACAACAAAATTAATCCAGCCAATCAGGTCTGAGCTCAATGCCTGCATTTTGAAACATATATCAAGAAGTAAATCTAGCTATAGCCAACTCAAACCAAGATGCACTGACAGTTCGGAGAATTTGCCATCATTTACCCACAATAGCCAATCACGTTTATTGCCTCTTCAATCCAGCACTAAATACATTTATATCCAATTCAAAGAAAGATAGCAATTGTGTAGGTTCGCAAAACTGTAGCCAGAATTAGTCAGTCACCTATAGATGCATATATGTTATTTGTTGGATGTTGTCATCCATGCTTAAATCTTATTGCAGTTCTTTTGTTAATAAATGTGTTTATGCTATTAGATCCTTCTTTCTCCCAAGGAGATCTGAACGGACAAAATTAATAACTAAATAAAGCAGTCAGTCAACAGTGAAATTGTTCCTAGTCATATACTTTTGAACAGCAAACTTCATATATTGTCCAATATTTTCTCAGTTATACTTTAGAAAGTTCAAAGAAGATTTTTGATGTAGCATGCATGAGTAGAAACCTGGACAACTAGGTTTTCCCATAGATTATCAAACAATTCAGTAAAATATGGCATTAAAATATGTCGAAGAAATTTTTAGCACCCAAAACCTCATGCAGAAACACATTTGCAACTGAAACTATGGACGAAGAAAAATTATGTGAATATTAGCTTATAGAGCAACCAATTATGACGTCAAAATATATGAGCACATACCTCTGAAGGCTTTTGCCCACTTGAAACCCCCAAAACCAGTTCTATTGCATCCTGAAAGGGAAAGCCTAAGATCCTGGCATAGCGCTCGAGCAGAACTTTAAGCTCCAATGACAATTTAGGATCAAATGCTGAACCATTGGCTTCAGTATGTTCCTTCAATGATGAAGAAGCACAATGGATGGACAGATAGATCATCCGTGGAAGTAGAGATCTCTTCTCAATGTTTTTAAGTACATTTTCTTCTGTTTGTTTGATCTGAATATGCAACCAAAGATATTATACTGGGTGATTAATTTTTCTGTAGAAGTGACCACAAATACAAATGTGATCCTTGAATACAATGGCTAATTTCAAAGAAAGTTCAGTTCACTACACCGTTGAAGATATACATGTATGAAAATATCAATTTTCTTTGGACAAGTTTATGATACCATATTGTGCCCAAATATGGCAAAATGTACAATGTTATGCTTTCATTATATGTCCCAACTTCACAGTGAAGATATCAAGATAGTTCTAGAGATTTCATACCAGGTTCTCCCTGGGGTAGTAGGATACTCCTTCAAATGGTCCTGTCAGTAATTGAGACCAAGTTAAATAATAAAACTAGGAAGAGCAACCTACTATTCAACTCTTACGTGCTTGACAAACAATCTAGGAAGATCCAAAACAATGCAAAGAGAACCTTTATCATTTCTTAGTTCTGTTCCCAGTTAAGAAACGTATTTTAGACTGACCTAAAAGATAATTCTTATCAAATGTTGGTGTCCACCAAGGTCGTAGCTGCAAGTCTTCATTGAAGGTCAACAATTTATTCCCAAGCTCATTAGATAGCTCTACGAAATGGTTTCCATTTTTCAAGCTTTCCAATATACACTACAAAAAACAAAGATTTAGTTCAAGCTACATAAAATTTCAAAAAATAAATAGAGGCATCTCAAGCTACATAAAATATAAAAAAATAAATAACAAAAAGAACCCGAGTACCTCCTCTTCTTGGATGCTATTTGCATTCTGCTTTAGCTGTAAGATAGGTGCTTCAATCTTTGCAACCAAATACTGGCTTGATCGCTGCAGGCGTTCCTTAAATTGTACAAATTCAATGACCTGGAGATAAACTAAAGAGGGTGAAGATTCCCGTTATACTATTGATGCAAATAGAAGATTGAGTGGAAAAAGAAAAAAAGATAGGCTAGAAACAAACTTAGAAATAAGTAAAAGGAAAGACCACAATCCAAAATGCATTTTTAGTTATTATTAATACTTCGCTAGACAGAAGATTATTTAACTCCCTCTATCTAAGAAGGAAGTACAATGAGAGCCATGCCTTGCAGAGATATTGGAAATATCCCAAAAAAGTCCTTTTAAATCACCAAAATACAGAATCAACCTCAACCAAATGAGTTTCACTACAACATTTTTCCCCCTGTTTAGACTGAATTTTTGAATTTAAACTTACATCCACATCTTATCCTGCTCCATTGCATCTTTACCAGTTAAGCATCAATACCCCAGAGAACAGAGTTGAATGTTCATCAGATTTTTTTTTATCACTTACAGGAAATATGGGAAAAGCAAATTTAAATACTCTTTGCAGCCCACTTAGCTCGAGCACATAAAAACTATTTACTTTCAAGAAATCAGTCACTACAAAAAAGACTTGCAGAGAAATTTTTTAAA